AATAATAATAATAATAATAATAATATAATGTACGTGTACTTTCTCAGATGCAACAAATCGATTTCACGTAGAGCAGACGTTTACGTACGACATTAACATTAATAGTCTCTTACAGTTTCGAGGAGCGTATAAAGCTCGTTCCGCTCGAGTTTACGATCGAGTTGCCAGCCGATTAACATTTACGTCACATCGATAGCTTTGGCAACATGGAATCCCATTGAGTTACTCTTTCGGAATTTTACGGTTATTTCTTTGATCCTTCCTCGCTGCTGGATGTTTCCCAAGAGGAGAGGAGGCACACAAACAGAATGTTGCGAGAAAAACATCTTTTTGTCAAGGAACGCAAACATTTATATTCTTTCTTTCATTTTTGTTTTTTTTCTCTCACTCCTTCTTCTTCTAGATACTCTTTTCATATATTACAGTCTCTTTCCTTGTGTATTCTTTTTTTCTCTTTTCTCTTCTCTTTCGTTACTCATTTCTTTTTCTTATCTCTTCTTCTTATATTTCGCTCGTACTTGCGTTAATGTGCGCCCGTCAACGTTTACGGGGGGGAGGAGTAAAGGAAGACGCAATATATTCTAAATTGGGTTTCTCTGTCTAGATATATATATGTATATATATGTAAAGGCGCAACGCTACATTCCCCGTGTGTAACAAATCAAAATCCGGCCCAACAAAGCATTACAAAGGTGTGAACAGAAAGATAAACCGCATGTTAAGATCTGGTCTACTTACGAAACTGACACTGTTGAGCCTCTCGGGCAAAGTACGTACTTTCTAGGACACACGTCTCACGCATTATTATTAAGGTAAATGATGCTATATAGCTTAGAAGAGTTAAATACTATGTAACGAGTAATAGAGGGGAGGGGAAGGTTTCGTTTCTTTTTTTTTCGGTTTTCTTTTTTGAGAGAGAGAGAGAGAGAGAGAGAGAGGAAGGAACAGGTAACGGGGGTAACAGAGGTGAGGGCTTGGCTTTTGTAAGGTGTAGACGGGTATACGCACGATATATATTTTAGTATATATCCTATAGAGAGGTATAATATTACGTGTAACGTAATATAAACGTACTATGTAACGTAGCTTGTTAAGTAATAGGTACATTGTAAAAGGTCTCTTTGAAGCCGCTGATAATAATGCATTCTTCGTGGAAAACTCTCTACGTTTCTCTTTCTTTTCTTTCTCCCGCTTTCTATTGTTTCGCGTCTTTTTGCCTTCCTTCTTCTTCTTACAGTAGATATTCGTTTGTTCGTAATTGCTTTTCATTTCTTTTTTTTTACCGTTCGTCGATAACGCCGTCGAAGGGATAAAGAAAACCGAGTAAGACGAGAATCGAAAGAGAGTACAAAAAGTTGCCCTCCACGAAGAAACACCTAGAGTATATTTCTAAACTAACGGTATCATAGTGACTTCCCAAAAAGCTATAGTTAACTAGTAGTTTCAATAGTAGGAACGTATACATAGTATAGTAATTCGTCAAAAATTATATTCGCTCTAGCTAATTCAAACCTAGTTTCACCTAAAGAAAAGTCTCATTAAGTAACTAAGGTCTGTAACAACACAAATGTTTACCTAATTACCTAGATATATATGTATATATATATATATGTATAAATATATATATGCTCTTTTTTGGATTAATACTTCTTTTTTTTCTCTTTTTTTTTTCTCCCACGTTAATTACTTCATCTCCCTTTTCACACGTGTTCTTTTTTTCCGGTTTTTTTATTTTTTTCGTTCATTCTCTCTTCAAGGTACGTATTCATATATAATTATACACGTTAATATACGAGCGTGTTCTATGTATATGTATATAGATTCGCGCGTGCATTTATATACATATAGATAGGCTCCGACCTCGCGTCCTTTTCCTTTCTTCAATTTTTTTCTTTTTTTAATTCTTTTTCTCGATCCGTTTTTTTTTTTCGTATTTATTTATTTACTTTTTTTTCCGTTCGTTTTTTTTTTTTTTGCCGTATATTTTTTTTATTCCGTTCCGTCTCTACATCGTACACACACGCGTACACCGTATCGGGTGTACGTAGTTCTTCATTTTCCTCGACATTATGAAATTTCATGAAATTCATTGCGAAAAATACTCTGAAAGGCGCGACGAATGAGAAATGCTTATCGCCGACCATTTGCCGCGCGCTCTCGACGCGCTATCCGCCTTCACCATTCACGATTCACTGCTTTATTTATGCCCCTCGACATATCATCTCCCGCGCAAATCAGAAAATTCACCTCCTTCTGGGATTAATACACGGCGTGCCGCTACCTGGGAATGTATTCTTTCCTTCTTTCCTCCAGTCGTTTCCTCCTACTCGCAACTTTTTTTTTTTTTTTGCTCTCTTTTAGTACTTTTTTTTTCCCCCGCTATTTCTCTCTCTTTCCTTATTTTTCACTTCTTTCTGTTTCGACGAGATTTTAGCAATCTACGATCTCGACGACGGGCGCCCTCGCTCTCGAAATCGAGCGAACAACCTTCACTTTCATGGAAGATACGACAAGAATGTCGCAGGACCTCGACCTCGATCGACTTCCCACATATTTTCCCTTTATTTCTCGTCCACCTCCTTCTTTCATTTCTCTTTTTTTTTTCTTTCTTTGCCGACACCATCGTCGATTCCCTTCACGATCGTCGTTTCAAAAAACTGAATGCCGCGAACACAGCGAGTCCTACCTTAAAGCTTCGATCTCTTCTCCGCTACGAAATTATCTAACATCTAACGAATCAATTGACGTGTTTGTCGCGAACGCGAGTCGTTCGAGGCAGGAATTTGTATCTCTTTCGTTCGTCGAAAAGTACCTAAATATCTGTATGGTATCTTGACCTGATTGCCTTCTACTTGCAATTTCTTCCCCTCCTCCCCTAACACAAATTTTCTATCTACACTCTAACTAAAACACCATAGAAACCTGCGATTCGTTGGCCATTTAGAATTGATTGTCTCTTCTAAGTATCGGATAATTGCAAAAATTCGTGCCTGATTATTCAGAGACTGTGTGGGAACCTTATCGACTTCGGCACAGATGTTACATTTCTATCGAGAGATACACCGCTTGTGTCTTATTTTCAAATAATCACTTGTTTCGTTTTTCGAAACTTTTGCACACACCGCCTGTGCTTCATTTTCAAATCGGCCACGAACCTTTGCAATCGTCCAATGTTACAATAATTACTTTATCTTCAAACATTCCTTTCCTTCGACTAACATCTTCTAAATCTGATCGACAAACAATACGTTGAAATGAACGTAATTCGACGAATTCACGAAAAGGAGGAGCGAGTTTTGCAAGAGGTACGTTTGATATATCAACTAACTACGGAGTGCTGCTCGCCGAAACGGACTCGTTTCTCTAAAATTTGAACACTTTCTTTATTGTCTTGCTACGTCTTGCCTTTGCTAGCCAACTACGAAATCACTACCAGTCTTTTCGCGATGCAAGTTTGTTTCGTTGCTATGATAAACCTTACTACTCTTTGGCTACGAGGAAAAACGAGGCCCCATAGGTGACTAAACCGAGTTCTGTAGAACAGAGACGACCTATGATCCCGCTGCTACATTTATATCCTTTCTTCTCGTCAATTCGCATCTCACACTACGATCACAGTTTTACTGAACTGAGCTTTCTCGAGCAGTCTCGCGAGAATTCGCTTATTCCCACAACTCGAAATCCTGGGAATAAAAAGGAATGGTTTTCTTTCGTCTAGGCTACACGTTATTGCACTTCTCGATATGTTTTCGATTCGCTGCTACGCCGAGTCGGAAATCAACTGTAAGGTAGAATTTATGCTAATACTTTCTCGATAACGAAGGCGACAAGTCACTAATCGAGGAATGTTCGATGTGCCGTAAAATGGCAAGTAGTATCCCGTTAAACGAAGAAAGGAAAATACGATCATCTCTATCTAGGTACATATCTATAGAAAAGTGAAACGTCGTTTCCTGCGGAATAAATAATAAATAAACATGATAAACGATTTAATAGGACAACGAAACAATCGGGATACCAACACGACATCAAACCAAAGTGAACACGACCAACAATGAGCAGACACAATCACGCCTCCTCAAACCCACACCAAACACACTACAAAATTATACACCTACACCCTTCGATATTTGTACGTTCTAAATTCCTTGGCACGTCAGATCGATCAATATATTGACTTCATCCCACGTAAGTATAACTACCAAAAATAACAAACCTACGCTACGATTCCGTGAATGTCCTGCATTCCAACTACTCCTGTACAGGCTGATTCTAGAAACTGGGAGAGGCTGTAGCTATGTTTCGAACTAAGTTAGAAAAGGTATCCTGGAGGAAAATATTGCACTGTTTGAGATTCTCTATCATCTTGTGGTACGATATTTTTTTCTCTGTTTTTTCTAATGGAATAACGCAATTTTTCTGCATAAATTGACTTTTAGAGTGATTCTGCGAATGAAAGGTACACTTACGAGGTAAGGTAATTGAAAATTCAATATTTTACGAGATATCTCACATGTAACACGAGAGTTATGATGAACTGTAAATACTATGATATTAAACGTGATAGCGACGTGATGATTCAACGTTAAAATAGTAATTGCTAAAATGCACATTTGAACGGTGCAACGAAAACTATCAATACTCAATTTATGCAGAAAACAAAAATTGTGTGGTTCCACTTAAAAAAAAAAAATTATACCATGGAATGATAGAGCAATCCTTCCGATACTAAGGACCACTACAATCGTCCACAAAGAATTTGCAAAAAATTATAATATTAACACGTTGATTAACACGGAGGGCTTCAAATGTTTAGAGTAATTGAAATAAAATGAATATCGCCAACGAAAAATTTCGAACGTCATAGCTAACTAGACATTATTTTGAATTAAAAAAAAAAATAATAAGCATGATACAATACTATGCTTAGAATAATGAAAATTTTCTTGTGGCCCCCCGAGCAAACCATGTAAATCTGGCGTGGCAGTCAACGTGTTAAGCAATTTCATTAAGTGTTATTCCTAGAAAACGTGTTAAAGTACGATTTCTTATCGCACTTTTAACTGGCAAAATTTAACTGCCATGCTTCTCATCCGGTACAGTGTTGTTCGCGTTATAGCTGTTCCAGTAGTAGCGTATTCGCGATAAATCTGTCCGTTCAACGGAGACACAGTGACCAAAAACGAAACCGCATCGAAAGGGTTGGTTAAACAATACAAAACATTCCTTAAAAATTTTTCCCTAACCTCCCTCGTAACAGAGCTACAGCCTACATCCCACTTCCTACAATCACCCTTTACACCAACATCGAAAATCACTTGAAATCATCGAAAAAAGCAAAAAAAGGGACAACCGCCGACCACTCTAACCCCTTTCCACGTTACCGTGTGCCTACTGCGGCCTCGAAAGGGGCGTGAGTATCGTCGGTCATAGTCCGATCGTAGGTATCGGATGGTAGACGGCACCCATGTCGAGGCCCTGAACGCCCAACAGGTCGCTCATGGAATAAGTGAGCGTGGCTGCTCGCGAGGCGGCTGCGGCCGCGACAGGATGAGGCCTGTATGAGGCGGCGGCCGCGGCCGCAGCCGCAGCAGCGAGGGCCCTCTTGACATCGTAGACAGCGGCGGTAGTGGCCGCGGCTGCCGCAGGTGCGGTCGCGCCAGCGGCGTACTGGTAGGTAGCGGCCGCGTTTGGTGCGGCGGTAGCGACTATCGGAGTGAGCAAGTGGTGGTGGGGGGTACCGGCGGAGGCTGCTGCAGCTGCATGTGCAGCCGCGGCAGCGGCCGTCGGAAGGGGATACGGCGCGTAACGATAGGTGGTGGGGGTGGGTGTCGCGACCATCACCAACTCACCGTATGCGCCTCTGTTGGCCGCTCGCGTCTTCGCCAGGTTCGCCGGGAGCATCACTTCCTTCGGCTGTGCTTTCTTGCATTCGACCTTGAAATTCAACAGAGATCGGTCAATCTTTAGTTCTGGAGGAGATGTTGGGAACGCTTGCAACGGTTCTTTTCGGGGGTGGAGGGCGATTCGTTAGGATGGCTGAAGTGTGTTTTTTGGGGACACTTGGGGGTGGTTATGGGTATGAAGGCAATTGGAGGTTACGAGGTTGCTGTTTTTGGGGTAGATGTACTGTGCAGCTCGGAAGTATTGGGACACCTTGTATGATTTGTACGGAAATTGTTGAACGATTTAATATTTAACCCTTTGTACTCGAGTGGCGACTGAGAAGCGACGTTATTGTTTACCATTTGGTACATGATTAATCGAAACTCACCTAAAGCTAGTATTTCACAGAACAGCAGGTCTATGGACCTCTCGTAAATGTCTGATAAACAGTGAACTAGTTCGGAAGAACCAACTTCTAATGAAATGTATTATAATTAAAATGTTAAATATTAAAATATATTTGTCGATATATGTATCTGTGATTTATTTCATCAATTTTTTAATAAATACTAAATACCAATTTTGAAGGTATTGGAAATGGGTTATGAAATGAAATAGTCTTTGTAATCTGTTAATGTACTATTTATTAACGGACTCAGAGGAAACGTCTTTACTACTTGAAATGTTCTAAAGGACTGTGACTGGGCACCCAAAAAGAAAGCTGGGGTCCGCTTATACCTAGGAACTGTTCACTTTATGGTATCGCAGTGGGCAGTGCGTGACTCGAAGACGGACACCAGACACATCTGGTGGATGTCCTAGTGCCTTTGCTTAAAAGAACGCGGAGACATTTTCGTCTTCGCTTGATTATTTCCATAGGGTGTTGTTAGAAATAATCGCTTATTGCACAAGCAAGTAGCAGGCATTTTCCCTATAGCAAAAGGATCTTCGAGTGCAAAGGGTTAGCTGCAGACATTTGTCTTTAAGACGTTGTCGCAGACGTGCAGTTAATTTTATCTATTAAATCACACTATGTTGTAAAAATACAGGGTGTTCCATATAACACTTACCACGATTTTTCAAACACTTCTGATTGTGAAAAGTTTTTCTTCAGAAAGTTCCTTTTCCCAATACATAGTAACGGTCGCCTTCATTTTTTAAATGACATATTTTTGACTTATTGTGTTATAACTCCTGTCAAGACGAATTCATTCACCTGGTCACACTGTGTCTTTGAAAGCAGTCAGATCACCCTTATATGAGATCTAAGACACCCTGTGTATGTTTGTTAAGTTTTTTTACAATATCTAATAAAAACGATATATTTACAATTTTGTATGAAAAATTAGAATTTTCTTTTTCACGGAAACAGTGCACCACCTGCTGTTAGTTGAAGTCGCTCAAATGCTAAAGCTTCTAAAATTGTACGTAGTGATACTGAAATCAGAATTCAGACTTATCTCTGAGATGAGTAGTCCGTAGTTAAAGGGTTAAATTACATTTCTACGTCAAACATAGTAACTACTACTCGTTGCACTACAAGATTCAAGGCAGAATAATCTCGTAACGACTGTTTAGGTTTGCTTCACATTCAGTCGAGTGTCCCAATACTTACGAACAGTAGTGTATCTTTACGATTTACGTGACAGTGCAGGGAGTATCACGAGACAAGTAGTAAAACCCGAAATTGGGTACTTCGAGCATCCAGTTGACTTTAATGTAAGCATTTCTCCCAGCAAGAATACGTTTCGCGTGATTCTAATATTTATCAAATACTCTACAACATTGTACAATATACAGAAACTCTAATTCAATTACTATCAATCTCGTTCTTTTCACACGAAGAATCTGTAACGCGAATTCCCGATGAACGGTGTACGTATATCCTCTGTTCAAGCAGCAAATAGATTTATGATAATTCGTTCGACTATGTTATACTCTCGTTACGAGTGTGTGTGTATTCACGTGCGTGCTTTGATGCGGGTAATCAAGGATAATTCGATGACAGCTAATCAGCGCGATCTATCGCTCTAATATTATCATTGGAAATAGGAGGGTGTTTTATATCCCCGGCTAAATATCAGACGAAGGTGTTGCTGGGTTATCGACAGAATTGGGATCGTCTAGGCCGGATAGATTTATGGGTAACGAGAAGTGGCATCTCGGTAAATCCTTGATCGACGTCAGCAGAATTTCGCGCGGTAGTAGACAAACAAACAGAACTGTCTATTACCACAGGACCCCGTGTGATCTCTACTATGACAGGCTTTCCAGAAACCGCTTTTCGTCTTCCAGTGTATGATCCGTACGCTCGACCAACGTCGTTCTCTCTGTGTGTGTGTGTGTGTGTCGCGCGCGTGCGTGTCAAATGCAAATAACCACGGCAGCCCTTCTCAATTATACGGAAAATTAATTCCGCTCGACGCCGTATCTGCAGACGGAAAGCGGAAGGCAAATACCGTTTGATACCACCTCTGCGGCCACGTGGCGGGGAGAAGGACGGACAGAGAGAGAGAGAGAGAGAGAGAGTGCTCTCTTCGTTCGACAAACAGGATTTGTTGGCCGACCGGCGACTCACCATTTTGTTGTTGATTTCGTGGAAATGAATCTCGCAGACTTTGTCGACCACGTCCTCGCTTTGAAACGTGACGAAGCCAAAGCCTGGAACAGAAAGAACAGGTGTCGTTTAATAATCGGTGATGGGGGTTTCCTTTTTGCTTGTTCCCCCCCAAAGCTGTGTAACGGTACAATATAATCGAAGTTAATTGTAAAGCTTCTGGGTGAAATTATTCGTGTCAGACTTGTGAGGAATTATGAAATTCAATTCCTGGCTGTTTGTTCTCGCAGAGGGAAATTGATCATTTAAGAGCTGCCGGAACAGCTTTTACCTGTTCGCTATTCTTCGAAACGACATGTTTCCTTTGTGCGATGTTTCGTTGATGAAAATTATCGATCGCGTAGAAAAATGTGTAGATTTCTCGTAAAATCGAACCACTTTGACCGTCACGATTTTGTTCTATTAACTCTTGATCAAGATTTTCATATTTTTTGTCGTGTCCTCAACGCGAACCACGCGACCGATCACCCCCACCGTTGACTTGCATCGCTTCTATCTACCTGCCAATAAGGATTCGCGAAGGAGGCCTTTTTCTAGGAAGGGCGTTGATTGGCCCTTTTTCCGAATTAGCAGCTACAAAAATATGTATAAAGGTAGCTTTCGCAAGCCCGAAGCCAGAATATGTACGGAGAGAAGCAAAGCGTGTACGGTGTGTACATATAAAAAAAAACCGAACAACGTAGTTTAACCTAAAACTAAACAACCAATAGGGAAACATCCATCGTGATATCTTCCAACCGAGAAATAAGATCACGGTACCAAACATTTTTCTTTCAGCATTTGTTTAGAAACCCCAATACTTACTTCTTCTGTTACTTCGAACGAAGATGAAGAATATAATTATTAGTGCTATTTTTCCATGTATCGGAGCAATTCCAATTTCAGATTTTGCAAAAGATTGAAATGTATTAAACATAACAAGACAAAAACATTCGCGAATATACAAGTATTAGGTGTACAAATTAATTCGACGCCTTTTTTCGCGAAACTTCAACAAAATCGATTTAAAACTACTATACTTTTTTCAATAAATGGAGAAATGTCACCAAAAAATAACGCAGTTTACTTTGAACATTAAAATTGTGTTCCATTTTTCGTACATAAACATTGAAGTTCGTGAAAAATGGCACCGAATGAATTTGTACACCTAATACAAGAATTTCCTTTCTCCTTCTACGAGAATGTTTCGCAACGAAGACAGGAATTACTCCGTTCAGTCAGCCTCTCCCCGAGGATTTATTCGATCAGGAGCGAATCTTAACCGACACTTTAAATACGTCGCACGATTCCGATGAATGCCCTTTATTCAACTGTAATTCGCCGCCCTTAAAAACCGTCCCGAGTTAACGTAACTTCCCACGCGTTCTCTCCGCCGCGAAGATAACTATCCCGTCGGATCTTCCTTTAATTCAGCAGAGCCGGACGAGTTTCGTTTCCTTTCCAACCCCTTCTCGCCGTGGAACCCGTTCCACTCGAACGCCGTCTAAGCATTTCTGCTCGAAATTTATTTCGGTCGAGGACGGACGAGAGAAAAGTGGCTGGAGGAGAGGAGACGGGATGGTAGTAGACGAAGGAGAAGAAGAAGAGGAAGAGAAACGAGAAAGAAGAAGAAGGGTGAGAGGACGATGAGCCGGCGAAGAGTCATAACTTAATCAAGCATCAAGGGTTATTAAAAACTTTGCATTGGTCTCCAGGTGATTTTAATCTCGCCCCTTCGCGTCGCTGAATTTCCCTCCGTCTCTTTCTATTTCACCCTGTTCTCGCCACCCCCTACGCGGGAAGCGTAGTAATTCAGGCTCAAGTTATTCGGCGCGGCGCGAGTTATACGAATCCAGTGCGCGATGTTGCTTAAGATAACCAGGAGTTAGTGCTTCCGTGCTGCAGCAGTCTGCGAGGAGCGGCGAAGCTACGCCGGGTGACTCGTAATTAAACACAGCCGATGGATACCGGGAGTCGAATGCCAGCCGACAGCTCGCGATTCTTCGAGCGTTCTCTCTTCTTTCTCTTAAATTTTACACCGGAAATGGAACGGGCGCGTTGAATTAAATTACGTTAGAGAGAGGTGAAGCTGCGCCAGGGCGAACAACGCAGACACAGACACCCCGCAGTTTATTCGAGTAATTAACGTCGATCGATCTTAATTTACGGTCTTATTTATTTATGACGGTTAATATGCAAGGAGATGGGGTCAGGAACAACCGCGATCAGAGTTCGCTAGGTGCACACGCCGTTGTTCTCGTTAAGGAGAATAATACGTGCGATAATTTTTATTCTACTACTTGTTGGAATGTTACTGTAAGGATGAGATACCTAATTATCTTCTCTGGTGGCAGGAGATAATTTTTATGCGTGGTTTAAACAGTTTCAAAGGGTGAATAAGGTCGGAGACAAATTTTTTTCTTCAAAAAAATGAAAAGAAGCTTCACATCTGATTTAAAATTTTGGAGTCATGTAAGAATACGTAAGTAACCTCGAAGAAAAAAAATTTCGTGATTTAAATACTTTCAAAGGGTGATTCGAATTTTTTCGATGGAAGAAATCGCAGAAAAATGAAAGGAAGTTTCATAGTTGATTTAAAATTTGGGAGTCGTGTAAGAAAAAATTTTTCTTCCATCATAATCTGGCTTCGAAACCATGCGAATTGTACCTATGAAGTATTTCGAATTTTTTCGATGGAAGAAATCGCAGAAAAATGAAAGGAAGTTTCATAGTTGATTTAAAATTTCGGAGTCGTGTAAGAAAAAAATTTTTCTTCCATCATAATCTGGCTTCGAAACCATGCGAATTGTACCTATGAAGTATTTTTCGTATCACCGCAGCTAGAGATGATACTTAAGTAGCCTGTTTTACGTAGTCCACCTTGTGTAACAGATGAAATTTCCCGGAGAAATTATTCGATTCTGTGTGGAGAATTTAATTCGATTTTAGGAGGACTTTAAGTAGTGTTTGATGCGTAACAGGTGAACAAGACGCACAGGACGCGTTGTTGAACAAGCGGAAGGACACTTAGCGTGTTTTATAGAACGACGTTCTTTTTATACAAGTATAGTAACGTTTAATGCTCGGCAGGAAAGTAAAATTTGTAAACCCTTCCAGAGCGGTGCGTTTGTGTAATCTTCCAATAAAACGCTTTTAACTATCTATTCGTGCATAACTTGCCCCCTTAATACCCTCAACTACACGTAGTCCTAAAATCTGCCGCTTTATAATTCATTGATTTTACGCTCGCCCACTTTATTCGCCTTTATAAACTTAACAGACTATATTCAGGTCTGAAGTACGTGTTACATTTAATAACACGAACGGTGTAAGATTAACTGGCCTACCTCACGACACACCCGAAAGACCTAACGACAGGCAGTAAAAGTAATATCAATCTCGCGACATTTCATAGTCCAGTATGAAGCACCTTGTCAAATTCGATACATCAGGAACGAACGTGAAATTAACAGATCCTCGAGTGAAACAGACTTATCTGGCTATACGATACAACCTTTAAAATTCAATTAATCAAACGCGGTTTGCTTCCTTTCAAACGAACTTCCCCCCCCAACTGATTCTCCTTTTCGCGTTTCTCCCTTTCTTCAGCCCATCAGCATCCCTCCTTCCTTCGTCACTTTCGTCTGCAACTTACACTACCGGTCCCTCGACCTTTAAGCTCCTCCGTCGGCATGAAAAGCACGAGTGATTAAGTTATAAACTTGGCAAGACGTCCGTTTGAGTGAGGAAGGGGCTTACTTCATTTATGTAATTTATAGTACTCTGCCAGTCAGCTAACTCCACGGAGCCTGAGCACTCTCTCCTTGCACAAAGGCCGTGCCCTGACACCGGTAACATTTAACTACTTCCTGTTGGAGTCTACCGAGCGTGCACACAACGTCCGGACACAGGGACCCAGAGGCCAGAGGTATTCCGCCGTCCCGATATTATTCGTCTTTTAAAGCGTGCTCTAATATCGTGCAGGGTATTACGAAGTCGTCTTCCTTTAAGAGGTATTAAAAAGTTATGACAGAGACTGTTCACGCTGAGCCGCGGCCGTCCTTCAGTCACTTTTGCGCAGGGAATAAAGTCGGCCGGTATGCAGCCGGCGATATGATGTATGCGAAATATCGCATGAATTTATAATAGGCACCGACGCCGTGTAAAATACGGCACTCGCGAGCGCGCGCACCAAATGAAATTACATTGTTTCATAAATTCCGTCCGCGTTAAACAGCCTCGACTCTGGTGTTCGTTGGAACATCAGGAGTGTAAGGTGCGTACGTTGTATCGGGTGTAAGAACATTTTCGAAGCAGTGTTAACATTTTACTGTCGAAGCGGAGTCTCACAGACTCCGCTGATTCTATCTTTCTTGGTTTTTTTCTATTCTATTTAGAACTCGGTATCATTGTATTCAAATGAAATTAATACAACGAAGCACTCTATTCTATAATGTTCATTAGGAAAATGTGTAATAGAGGTAAATCAGTAAGAAAAGTTGTCAGAAATGTTCTATGTTTATACTATGTTCTAACTAGAAGTTTACGTCCCAAAGAAAGGTGTCTCGACAGTAGAGGGCTTCTTACTGTGAAAAAACTCAATTTTTGCTTTTTGCATTTTCCTATAGTTTAACATCTGGGGAATATGTGGACGAAGTTTTGAAGCTTGGATCTCGAAATTGGCAGAGGTATATGCCATCGAAGGAAGCGGTTTTATGTAATCTTGAAAAACCGAGAAGTCCGATTCATTTCAAATTTGCCAGGTGCCTTCGGTAGATGTTGATTTATCGTCTGAACTAGAAATGTGAAAATATTTTCAAAATTTAGTCTTTGCGGTCAAAACAACCATCATTTTTTTTGCTAAAATCGAAAGCAATCTCTTTAAAACCTTTATTTTTCAATACTTTTTTATTATTCCAGTTCAGACGATAGCCACGCGTCTACAGATCAAGAATACGTCTGCATTTTGTATTTTGGATATCGTGTCAGCCATAGATAAGGACATTTTCCAAGGCGCTCTCTTCACGGTGCTCCTACTTCACAACAAACGGACATTTTCCCTTAT